GGGAAGCCTGCTTCTCCCTCTCCCGTTCCCCCTGTTTGTGTTCCTGCTCTCACTATCTCTCTCTCTGTCAAATAAATAAAATCTTAAAAAAATAGTAATAATAAAACAGTATCTCGGTTTGCTCATTTTACTAGTTTTTACGTTATGAAATAGCCCAAGAAATGAGACCTTGAACCTTTACCATCCAGCACCCAAATTGAGTTAAACAAAAAATTAACTACCTGTAGTCAGTAGGAGCAGGTTTCTTCCAGAAGTCAGAGTTCTGCCTCTCTCTGAGGCAGAGAATTTCACTCCAAGCACTCAGGACTGGAAGGAGTTGTCAGAATTGTTAGAAATAACGTCTTTATGGTATTTGCCTGTTTTAATAACTTTATGAAGAATTCTCGCTCTTGAGGCATCCCCGGCATAACCTGCCTCCACTTGGGCAAGTCACTGCTTCTCTCAAAACCTCTGGATCCTGACTTTCCAGAACAAGGAGGAGATACAGAGCCGGAGGGCCGTGGGCCAGGCAGCATCGACCTGCTCGACAGCTCGTGGCCAGCAGAAGCCCAGTTCTGTGCAGGCCAGCACTGTCGCTGCAAGTGTGTCCCCCCTTTACCAGCTGCATCCTTTCCAAGCCTCATCTGTAGGAAGAGGTCACCACTGATGGGGCACAGGAGGAAGGCTGCTGGGGGCTTTTGTGGCCTTAGCTGATGAAAGGAGAGAGCCGCCACCACCTCTGCGTTCTCTCCCCCTCTTCCTGCTCTGGTTATCCTGATCCATGGGACTGCAGCAGCCATCCTAGGACCACGAGGACCAGCCCTGGGATGAAAAGTGAACGTGCGGAGAAGAACAATAAAAAGACCCTGGGTCCCTGATGATGTTTTGAGCCTCTGCGTGAACTCTAGACCTGCCTCCTTCCAGACCCCTGTGAAAGAATAAAACATCTTCATTGCCTCTCACTGTTCGTTGGACTTTCTGTCAGAGCCTGAGTCACACGGTATTGACGTGGGGTAAGTGCGCAGATATCAGCAAAAACTCAGAACTTGCATGCATAAAGTTCTCCTGTCTCCTCTCCTCCCGAGGTCTTCAGGGAATGTTTCTCTGAAGTCCCGATTTGTGTTCTTGTTCCTACCTTAGTTGCTTTCCATTCCGCAAGTCTTGATGAGTTCATACTGGATGCCCTGCCCTGTGCCCGATGCTCCATAAATACAGATGACTCCTGAGCGGGAAGAGGCTTCTCACAGGAGACAAGGCCTGCACCTCCAGGGGGGGCAGGAGGTGCTTGTGTGGAAGGGGGGAGTCATTTCCCAGGAGAGGACGCCAGGAGGAAGAAGGCCCAATGCTGGAGGCAGCAGAACGTGTGCAGAGAGCTACGCGGAGTTCAGGGTCACTGAAACCTGAGGGCTAGCCCAGGAGGGCAGGAGGTGGTGCTGGGGAGGAAGCCAGAGAAGATAAGTGAATTGAGAAAATGCCAAAGGCTTCTCCTTAGTATTTTCGTCCTGAACAATGGCCAGAAGCCACTTAATGCAAGCAGATAATTCTTCAAGAAAAGAGTGGTTTTTTTCTTCAAGAAAACCTAGTGCTGAAGTAGTACCAGAAGAAAAAGACGTAACTGTATTCTGAGAGGCATTTTGTTTATGTGTGTGTAGCAAATTTCCGTTTCTGGCTCTTCTCTCTTTCACAGGTTTTAGAATAGAGGTGTAAGAGCTCCACTGGTCCACCAGCTCTAAGGGGTTGAAAAGTATTGATGGATCTGGAGCATGTGTTTGAGGACAGCTCCACAGTGCAGGGCAGGCCCTGGTGTGAGAACACTGACATCAGGGGGCATTTTACAGCCGTGAGAAGGAGAGGCCCTATCTTCATGTGACAAGAGGTGTCTTGATGAAAGGTCAGTGTACTGAAGGCTTAACTAGCTGGAAAGGGTGGAAGAAGTTAGAAGAGCCTCCTGCTTACAAGGGTTCTGAAACTGTTCTTCTGGGAGACCCTTAATAGCAAGAGCCTGTCTTTGTGAAAGGGAAGACTCAGGTGGCTTGCACTTGGCTCCTGGT